TCGCGGGTCAACATCACTTATCACATTAGATCATTTAGCCCCGTCCTCAGTGAGAACAGCAGTAACTACATTATCAGTGAGGAAGATAGCCTGGAATACATCCTGGTCAAATAATTGGCTTTGGCTGAAATGGGTTAGCGAACTGTGGTTTAGAATTCAATTCAATCCCTTCTGCATGAGTCTCGGTATTGCCATGAAACTCCAGTTTTCCTCTTCCTGAAAATAGTAACTTCGATCGTTGGGCCTTCGTCCTTATCCTTGGGATAATCATAACGCATGTTAGTGCTGTATTAAAGTAAAATTTATTTGATAAAACAAGCTTCCGCCTAATTTCTCATCCAATTGGGGAATGCTTTACACGTATAACTTCGTGTCTTCGTATAGCCGAACCACCTCTATATGATGGATTAATTAATAGGTATGGCATTCACAAATGATCCTTAAAACTCATTTCAAAGTTTTATTTGGGGTCAGCTTTTGGCCAGTAGAGATCTTTCATTAGCCATCCCTCGAAGATTGTATAGCTAACGTAATACATCAGCATGCAAAATACTGACGATGGAATTGGGATGTTTGCGATCTAATTCATATAACTGGCACAAATTCACCAGATTTATGGCAGGGCTCAGGCTGCAGGGCCGCTTCAACTTGCCAACTTTTTTGTACGTCACCCTCTCTGCAGAATAGCTAGTGTATGACAGCGTACTGCTCGAAGTCATCAGCAAGCGCAACCGCTTCCCTAAGCTGGTGGTCCGCTGACTTCTCCTCATACATCGTGGGTTGTAGGAAGCAACGGCGTTTGAAAATTAAACCTGACGCAACCTGTCTGTTGATTCCCTCTCCCTTCCCGTTGCAACCGAGAACAGACACCACACCTACCCGGCCCTTGGCAATAGCATTGACCTCAATCCTGCAGACTCAAACTAGTCATATCCATGTGGGGCATCGGTGCAACCTTGAACCAACCTCAGCGATCGACGTGGCCTTGAAATAATTTTCAAAGACTCAGACCCACCAAATTAGTCATCATTCATCAGTGCTTTCACCCTAAATCGAGACTGTGCCACCCATCGAAGTAGTTGGGTTCTATCACAGACAATCAGTTTGTTGGACCACGGACCAGAGTGATTATGGCGGCTTGACAAGTTGTAATTTGCTCTGTCCTCGCCAAATCTTGAGGGGTTGAGTCTGTCCCGGCCCTCTTCTGTTCCTATCGACCCAGATTTCGACGGTTCGCGACGTCTTGGGCCTACCAGTCCTGATAGTTTTACCGAGCAGAGTGAAGCCAGGCTAGCTGACGGTATACAGGGGCTCCATGTCAGAGTCGGTTTCTGCAGATGACTGATATGCAATATCGCTGTCTTCAGCTGGCAATCAGACCCGATATCGCTGCCGCATCGGCCTGTCGTGTCTTGAGGCCATCACCTGGAGAAGAGAACCAAGCAAAAACGACTGCTCCATGATTGAATGAAACCAAAATGATGGACTGAAATAATACGGTTTGTGACATACGGAGTCCTTTGAAAATCTGCACGATATAAACACTAAAGATAACGAAACATTCAACCAGACGTGAAAGTTTCCATCTCTCAATATGCTCTATCGCATCTATTTTTAAGAATATACATAATGATCATGTCAATTTCTGCCACGATTCTAATCTAAATGTTGAAACTAAAATACAAAATGAAGTAGAGTTAAGTGGCTGGTTTTTCAATAGACATAAACAATAGTCTTTACACCAGCTTGCCGAAATCGTGTTGAAATTTCTCCTATGAAAAATATATCTTAACTTGGCAGCACCTTTTTAAACAAGCATTTATAGTTTCTTAGTACTGATTTTAATATTTATTCATTTATATTTTGGTGTACAGCGCCTTGGAGCAGCATAATGGATTGGGCGCTTTATAAATGTCAGTTGTTATTATTATATTCCCTCCTGGTTTAATAAAAATGATATAAAGTCAACAGGGTAATGGCGTTTTAATTAATTCCCCCACGTTATGGGCAATAAAAACACCCATCGAACCGGCTCAACCGCGACACCCAAACACGAAACGGTCGCCGTCCAGAGAAGATTGAGCCCATTCCCGTCGGGTATCACCTGGTCTCAGTCGGTCCGTCTCTGTACCTTGATCAGTTCTAAATCGCATTAATAACAGGCAGTGTGTCACTCATATGAAACTCCGTCGTGTTATTGTCCCGTCAGATCCCATCACAAGCTGAGATGATGGGACGCTAGAGAGATGAGCTTGACGGGGCTCGGAGAAGGAACAGAACTCGGGGAGGGAGCTTATACCCTCCAGCAGTATCAGAAAAGTCGCTCTGGGAGTTTCGTTAGACTGGAAGGGAACAGACCAGCTTGGATCTGAAAGTTTTGCAACATTCATCGGAGCTGTGTCTCGTCATACCTTTCCATTGTTTTGATCAACTGAAGAAATAGGACATTCACCCTCTTACTCCGTTTTGGTACGAACTTCCAGACAATGGGTTTGGACGATTGCTCTGGTAAAAAGCTCGATTCTCTTCATTCGAAAAATTGCAAAACATTCGTTCGGCAAGAACGTTGAAATGATAACAGGATCGACACTGCCCATTTTAATATTAATCCGATCTCCGAATAACCCAACTTTCATCTAACTCAGACATCATTGCGTTACGATTATTAGTGAGAAGGATCTGCTTGCTGCTCTTAACTTGACAGTCCTGTCTCAATTCTAACAGAGAATTAAAGGAGCAGCAACATTTTTAGCAGTGCGTGGTACACCGTGTAGGTGTACTTGGAATAAGGTTGATTTTGGAATCTCGGCAGCTGACTTTGTTGCTATATAAAACCCACTTTGGTATTTTGTTCGTATTGCTCTTTGAAGAGTACGTGTTTTACTGGGCCTAGCACAGAGGTAAATCGACTGGCGTGATTGACCCTATTTGAAATTCTTTAAAATGTCATCGAATGTGAACTAGTTCCATGTTTATCTCTGGTTACTGTCACCCAAATCGGGCACAAAAACGAATTGCCAACTAATTTGTAATGAATGGACTTCACTTATGGTTGAGTCCGCCAAGCCCTTTATTTTGCTCAGCAATATTTGCTGCTGAGAAGTGCCACAAATATCGAAAACCTGCGGTCCAATCTTGACTTGGTTCCTTTGCCGGTCCACCCCCACCGGCGCCATTTCGCCTTCCGTCACGGAAAGGGGTTTCCGTCCATCCTCTTCAAGAACTAGATCACGTCATCGACGAAATGCCCCTTCAAACGGCATACGGTCAGCCCTAGCTGACACGGGCCACTGCACATATACGCCGGCACCGGGAGACGGACTTGGGGGCTGTTTTGAGATGAATTAACGATTAATTATGAAATCAGCACCGTCTCCGGTTGAAGACATCTCGGCGGAGATTGCCAGATAATACGCCCCGTCCTATCGACCGGCCTGAGGCGCTGGTCTCAAGGAGTCTGTCGAGACTTGCCCAAGGGGGTGTTTTTTTCTCCTGCTTTCCTTGGCGCTTGGAAGTCACGGTTTGTAGGATTTGGGCCCGATAATGTCAATAATTTTCGAGATGGTGGAACTAATGGGAGCAGTTGAAGTAAAGATCACGGAGAAGCAACTCCAAGGTATGATAAGACGTCCTTACTTGAGCCCGAATCGACCCTTCAACCCTTAGGGGAAGAAAGGACCAAGATTTTTATCATTAACGGCTACCGCTTGCTACTAGCCGACAAGGGACCAATCCGAGGTATTTAAGAGCTGAAAATTCAAAAGTCAGAGTACTTTCAAACACTGACACAAAATTATCATAAGTGAAACTTTCATTACACCGGGGTTTATTTCAATCAGTATTTTTTATTACTTCTAGAACTACAAAACAAAGATTACTTGAAAAGAAATGATACCTTTTTAATTCAACCCTGAAACTCGTGTGTACCGGTGTCAATGTATTTTGTATTTCTTTCCTTGGGACCAACTGAACCATAGACTGTCACATGTATTTTTATCGAGTATTCTTTGACTCACGGCTTTGGATGTTGCTTTTGTAAGAGTAATGTGGACGAAGACGTTCGTGCCGTTTCGGACGCGCGTCAGGTTTTAGAGGCCAGTAAAATAGACCCTACGAATTGCCTGTGCGGTCCGTGGACAGGAGTATGTGTAAAACAGACGGATGGAAGCCACCAAAAGAGACTAGCAGCTTGTATTTCTGAGAGGTTTGAAAAAATCAGAGCCTTCCACATGGCTTTATTTTGCAATGGAGTAGTGTAGGTATCAGTCTTAAAAATGGCGATGGGCTTTAAGACTATTTTTTAGGCGGGATCATCTTGAAATGAAAACATCTTCAAAATTCATCAGTTAACCCAGCAAGAACTGAAAAGAGATTGAGAGATCAGCTTTAATTGGATGTGCGTCTTTATCACCTGACTTGTGATAATTTGTCATTGATGTCTGTGACATCTAATTTTGTGGTCTGCAGGAAGCAGACCACTTTTTCAAGTGATGATTTTTGCCAAGCTCAGTGCATGAAAAGTGCCGCCACAGTTTCTTTTCAAAGGGGAAATTGGTGGAAAACATCTGGTATTGTAAACATGTGGGCCAGGATCATTTCTTGGTTTGGGGGCTTCTATTCGATTTCAGAGTTGATAAAAAATTATGGATGAAAAATGAGTTTAAGTGCCTGAGAGAGATGGCATTTAAAATGTCTGCGTGCAGGTTTGGAGTTATCACTTTCCGGGGACTGAGTTTGTGTTGTTTGAATAATAAAAACTCTAATCGGCTAACCCACTAAACATTTAAAGGATGGAAAGATTAGGCACAAGACAATAATTTTATTTTGTTTGAAGAACTTCGGTTTTGATTTTTTTTTAGCCCTGAACTTTGTAGACATTACACCGTTTTCAATGGGCTTAAATATGTTCACTACATAACAACCACGCAAAAGCTTCAAGACTGCGCTTCACACTCAAATGGCATTTTAAATAGCGCCCTCAAGAGGTGTATTCCTGGAATCGCTTCGCGCGCACATTACTTCACGCCTGTGTAATGCATACAACTATGAACTAAGGTTGAGTAGAATTTTAAGCCAAGGATTTATGTTGAAAATGGCTTCCCAGAGTAGTCAAGAAAGTGTTGGTTCCAGACAGGGAAAAGTTACCACAATTGTCCCTGAGAGGTCGCGGTTTCCATCCAGAAGACGACTGGCGTGAGTTGATTGCTAGGCCTAACATGCTAACAATGCTGCTGAACTTAGCCCCGCTAGTGTGGCTCGGATCACTCCCGATTTATCCACTAGTGGGGCAATACTGAACTGTACTAGGCTAGGCCTAGTTCATTAGCACCCTGTTCCTGTCGCTCTACAGACTTACTCGGCCTATAGCTTTATAAGGAAACAAATTCTACTTTTTCGAAATAACTTATCTAAACAAGTTGTTGGTGATTTCCTCTGTCGTATCAGAAAGAAAAGAGAACAGGGCTTTTGGTTTTGAGGGAAAGTTTTGATAGAATTTTTGGTAGCGTACATGACCGCCCTGAAGAACTAGCTGTGAACATGGTGAATGATAAATAAGCGAATGTAGTCTGGCTCCTTGACCTGGATGTAGGTTTGTTTTGATGGTTGCACTACACCAAATATGCGCCCATAGTAAACAGTGCATAATTGGACCAAAATAGCTCCACCTGTTAACTATCTTGTGAAGAGGTTGGCTTCCGTTTTTTCCCTGGAAATTCAAGATTATTGCCAGAAGATCACTTTTCGTTTCAATTTCTTGGGGGTTAGCCATGAAAATTCTTATGCACCTTTGAATGAAGATACCCCCAAAATAGCAGTAAAAGTTTTACTAAAACTAAGCACTCTTTTCTGAATGTAGCTGTAGCCGCCTGCTTCTATTAGCCAAAATAGGCCTGCAATTTGGGGCTTTTTGTGAAAGAAATACCACGAACTGGAAACTATCACTCCCAAATTTGGAATTTATAGAAATATTTCTATGATGCCTCCTGATTATGGCCTGTCATTGTAAAAATCCCATGGGATCACAAAACTCGGGTTAGAAATTTGAAGTTTTCTCTCTTGAATATTGTCAAAATTTACCTAAACTAGGCCTATCAGGATTGAGTAATGGTTCCGTAAGGTCAAAATGTTAGTTAGGTCAAGAAAGTGTACTTTGTTTCCTTATTATAGGAACAGGGTGCTAATGGTAATGAGCCCCACTAACATGGCTGAGAACTAGTCTGACCATGGTCTGACATGTCCGTGTAACTTGGGACCCTGAAATCGCCTTTTTAAACAGTTGGACATGGTTGGATGATAGAAGGGTCCAAGTACCTGCCATAAGCTTTAGCTTCCATTAATTCATTGCACTCAAAATAGTTCCTACCCCGAATCAAATCCCCCCCCCCATTCACCTTGAAAATGGTCTTTAACCCCTTCACGCCGGAACGCGGCTAGAGCCGCTGTAAAAATTGAGACCCTCAGCCCGCTTTTCAGCTATTATTCTCGGCCCACGCTCGAACGAACACGGTGAAAGAAGGCAGACCCTGGCTCTTGTATATATGGTGATTGGCCTTTGTGTGTAGCCCAGAAATGAAAAGACCAAATTTGCATCATAATCACCAGCTTCACAATAGTCCCCACTCTGAAAAGAGGCAACGGGAATGTGGAAGTGTGAGTAGAGCCGCATGCCACCGAACAATCAGCCTTTTCACCGTGTAATTCCAAGTGTGCAGAGCACGCAGGGCCACAAACTGAGAATTTGTGGTTTGGCAGGTGGCCTTCGTGGCCAAGCGAGGCTGGAATTCTTGGAGTCGGCTTTCGGAAAGAAATTCCCGTTGTCAAGGGGTTAAACTGTCTAAGGCACCCAGCTTAGGATCAAGTGAGAATCAGAGATTCCAATAATGATGAGAAAGTACTCACATTTGGGAAGAAAAGAGTAGTTTCCCCTTCAAATCGGAAGATTGAAAAAGGATGAGTATAGTGCCCTGGTTGATGGGTCTGGGGCATGCTTTTATTTGAACTTGTTGCTTTTTTGTTGCACAGGAAGAGGCAAACCACCTTACGAGCATTCACATTTGTCCGAGATTGGGATGTGAGACAGTCACCGTTAGCATCGGTCCATAGCCAGCCAGCCGACAAGGTACTTCCATAGGGGCTAACCAGATGGAGACACTACGGTTTTGTCCAAATTACTTGGCTGTAAGGGTGTGAGGTTCAAACATTTAAATGAAGAAATATTCAGTTAACATTCACATATTTTCCGAAACATTTTGAAGAACCTCCTTTTTCCAGGTTTGACACAAATTGACGTGATCTGGCGTTGGACCTGAGTAAATGTCCATGCGTTCCTCCTAATTGCATAGGGATTGTTTCCTTTCCTCATCCACCTACAGTTTTCAGGGAAAATTTGAAAATTCAAACTAGAAGACTTGCTTATATTGAATTGCCCCTTACATCGATCTACATTTATACATTAGGCTGATCATGTGCATTGTTGATGAACTATATACATACGTAAACACTGAGGTACATGTACGCAATGGTGAGCCTCTGTAATGTGTTGTTTAAACATTTAAAAAGTATGGGAAAGTTCTTCTAAACATTTATCAAATAAAATGTAGATTCTACCCCTTACTTGGCTGCAGCTGAAAATTCCACATGACTCTATTGGAAGTGGCTAGCCTATGGCCACAAACATAGACTCATGTGTCATTTCAAACCACAACCAAGTACATTCGATACGGACTTGGCCTAAGCAGAGAAATTTACTAACATCTCTGACTGTATAGTCGCCAGGTTCCTTATTTCGCTACCTATTGTCAAGTCTGATTGTTTTCACAGTAAGTGGCGAAATTAAGGACCTGGCAACTATACCGTCATGGACGTTAGGCACTGAAAATATTTCCTTAGCAGAACACGGTTCCAGTCGGCAGACTAGCTAAGTGCTCATTTTTTTCAGCAACTTGTTTCGTTGTGCCGTGCTAAGTATAATGTATAATGCTTGTGAGTGGTAGTTTGGTAATTTTTTATTAGTGTGTAAATTCATGCCAAGTTAGTTAATGTGCTGAGCAAGGCCCAATTTTATCAAAGAGTGAATAAAATTCCATTCTTAGAGAGATTTTGTGATAGGATGAACTTGGACATTATTAGTAAGGGTGGGATGTTAACACGTTTAAACGTTTAAACAAAAAAAGTTCCAAATCTGTTTACAGATTTTCCCAAACGTTTAAACAGAACCGCCCCTTTGAGATGTGTGGCCTTTTAATTGATGCAATCTGGCATTCACTTTTATTGTAAACATTGCCTGTAAAATGGAATCTGATTTTTGTTCTGATCTGCAAACACTTTACTGCTCGGTTATATCCAAGGAATACCATGAATTTATCACCTGAACTTGATGTCAACTATTGACATCATATACAATTTGTTGTTTTAAAGTTTTCAATGACACCATGCTAAGGGTCGGACGTTGAAACATTTAAACGGTATGGGAAAGTTTTCCACATGTTTTTCATATTCAAACATAAATTCCCACTCTTAATTATTAGAAAAAATGTGATGTAGAAATGTAAATAATTTGTTCAAAGGTTTGATCATTTATGTGTTTATCTCCCTCAGTCGGAGGATTCAGCCAGCCCTGCCCGTAGTTCTGTCACCATCTCACCATCTCCCCAACTTAGCAGTCAGGCTGCTTCCTTGTCTACGTCTGGTAGACCTAGAGTGAGTCCAGGTCCCATCATCATAGCCAGTCCCTCCTCCAGGACTCGCTCTGGCTCCACCCAGAAAAGACGTGAGACTTGCACTTCTCATTTTTTGAGATTAACTCCATAAAGTACACTGTACCAAATTTGCCAAGATCCAGCCCGAGACCTCAAATTCACTGCTTTGTCTTAAAATTCTTTGTTAACTGCAGCAAACAGTCTGCCGTAGCTGTTCCAAAGAATTTTGGCTCAGTAATTCAAGATTCTGCACCTAGAGAGAAGCGTGGTGTGTGCATGTGCTGTAAGCATAGTGTGGTGATCATATATGCAGAAATTGATTTGGGCAGAGAAATGAATTTGCTCTTTGACAAAATGCGGACTGTGGAGTTATATTGCTGTTTTTACAGCTGCTGTCAAACTTGAATATTCTTGAATATGCTTTTAATAAATGCAAGTTAACTTTTCAGTACAACACAATTTCCGTTAAGCCTTACATCAGTCCATTATTCAATTCTTTTGCACCCTTATTTGACCCTGTCTCTGATAGCACCATCCTCGCATCGCACAACTCGTCATGGTTTGGCTTCCACCTCTGCTGGAGGTCATGCAACTGCCCAATCAGGAGAGAGCATGATGCAATCATCCACAGTGGGCAGGGCCACCCTCTCTGAACCCACTGGTCCATCAGCGACTTCTACCCCGGCTTCGGGGGATCCGGGCCCGTCAAGCGAGGGTGCTTCACAGATGTCTCTGGATGAGGACAGCTCCCTGACTACATCTGCTCAGACGGGCCCACCCACCGGTCACTCCAGTCCCATCACCGATGGCTCAAGACCGACAGTCACCTCTGAACTTGCTTCTCAGGAGAGACCGGTTATCGCAGCCAATCCGTTAGTGATGGACAGCCCGACAGCCAGTTCCACCCTTTCGCAGCCGGTCAGTTCCAGCCCAGCCCTGTCCATTCAGAATTTAGGTCAGAGACCTTCAGACATGCCAAGTGTCCAATGGAGAGTAGACCACAGTCAATTCACCACACCAGGTGAAAAATCAATGGTAGGTTGCTCAGGATAACCCACCTATTTCCACGTGTTTAGAAATTTTGAAGTTAACAATTTGATGTTTTCATGTAAGCTGCTTTGAGATGTTTTCACATGTAAGGCAGTTTATAGAAACTGTTATTTCAACATACATTGGAGAAGAATTTCATTTTCCTGTTGTTAATTTCAGTTTAATTTCCAACTTTCTGCCAAACTTTGGGCCTGCTGTTCACTTCACACCATCAAAAAGTGAAGTAATGACAGTTTCAAAGTGTATTCCTTTTTGTCTTTCTTTTCTTTTTTGTGTCAGAGCATCATTGCAAAAACACCAAAGAGTGGCCCAGTTGCCAGACACGTAACTTCCAGAAGACGTAAGCTGTCCCCACCACCAGAGGGCGACAGACAACAGTCGATAATAGCGCCGGGAACCAAGAAAGGTATTTTATTAAAGTGTAGCTGCAATGAATTTCTCACAGACACAAATTTTCTAATTCTTTGTACTCTTCTTTAAAGTATGAAAACGTGTTTTCATTCCTCTATGATTACATGCATTAAAACTTGCACTTTTAAACACTTTTAAAAGTATGCATGCTTTTCTAGACAACTGAGGGCGCTGTTGCTGTGCTGTCATCCAGGGAAGACATGGTTCATTGCACAGGTTTTTCTTTTCCAGTTGTGAACCCAGAAAATACTTACTGAAAATATTTCTGAGAAAGGGATTGCTGCTCTCTTATTACTGTGCTCATAAACAATAGTGAATCTGCTACAAAAATGCAGAACTTTTTGTTTCCAGACCAATGCATCATTGGGGCTCTTCCTGAGATGACATCATGCTTTTGGTCATGAATATGGAAATATGCTCATTTGCATAAAACAAAAAGGGCACAAAATACCCTTTGAAACAGTGAAATAAACATTAGAAATAAGTGACACAGAAAAGTGCCTTTTGAAGGTTTGTATTAAAAGAAACCGATTGCAGCACGGCTAAGTCTTACAAACAATGACTGCCTGGTCGCGTTATTTTTTTCCTAGGAAAGTAAGGGGTAATTATCATATACGGGCGTGGTTAACTGCAAGTTCGATCAGGTTAGGGGAGAGTTAGAAACTATTATAAAATCATCCTCCAACCAGCTAATTCTTCACCAAGAAGAGAACTCTCTCTGTGGTTCTAAGTAAAATACTCAGAGCTACCATTCAAGTCAGCCAGAAAGGCAATCTTGTGTTGTTTTACACTTGTCCCCTGTTATGAATATTGTCCCCAACCTTCCTAGATGGAAAACGCATGCGCAACGGTTAAGATACGCCCATTTTATTATGATTACGCCTAACCTTCCTAGGAAAAACAATTTACGCTGCCTGGTCTGTGTGACTAGTTTTCACCTCTCATTTCCTGTTATCTGTGATTTGACTCAGCATTTGACTTGTTACTAGACTTTCTGTTGACTCAGTGACACTTCACAAATCTCAATATGTCGTCTTAAATGGGTGGTGTTTAGGATTCTTCCAAAGACAAAATCCTTGTCTTTGGAAGAAAACCTTAGAACTCTGTCACGTTGCACTGTGGCCAAATTGTACAAAGTTTTGAATTTCACACATTTTGCAGCTTTTCGTTTTCACCATGGCAGAGGTTCCAGTACTATTTACTGTGATAAATGAAAAACCAGGAGAGTCAAGATAATAATTCAGTTAATGTATTATAGCATTCTTTTTTTGTTCACAGCAAAAGTGCGTCTTTGGGCTGGTAATGGTCGCCGTCGCCTAGCAACTGATGTAACTGATTTAGATATGGTGTTGAGTACGCTGGAAGACGTGATAGTTGATTACAAGTTAGTCTTCATGTTAAGTTCCGTCTACCTTATAAGTATCTCTGCCTGAGCTGCTTTGGGTGGTTTGAAAGATACGGTTGTGTGTAATGCCCATGTCAGAAAAGAATCAGAACTATTGAGTTGGTACACAAAGTAAAGTTGAGTTGGGGTGTTAGAAAAACTGCATTGACGTACAAGAGGTTACATATCAATTTGTCACCTGTGATTAAAATAGCCTGTTATTCTTTGGTTCTGGGTACTTGTAACTGTACGAGACAAACACCAACAAGAAAATGATTGGTAAAGACCTCTTCAGACTTTTTGTTCTTGCTGCGAATGGTGTCAGATTGTGAATTAAAACTTACAGTTGCTTTTTCTTTAAATGTGGTAAAGTAGATAAATTTCAGATTTTTAACCGAAGTTAAGCACACATTTCAAGTAGTTGGTTCTTGAACCGTTTTTACTTTTAAAACTTTTTTGTTTATACTCCTAAACAGTATATAAGGTTCTAGAAACTTATCTCAGAGGGCCTGTCTGACTGACATTCCACAATGACGACTCGAAAAATCTCAGCCAGTGTGGACAAAAATGAATCCTGATTTGTTTTTTCTTTCAGACAGAAATTGGAGTCTGCATCCCAGAAGCGGGCATTGACCAAGTTCTTCTACCTTATGAAGAAGGAACTGACTAACAAGGTTGGTGGAAACCAGATTCCTCGCATGTAATCAGGAATAAAACTTCTACAAAAATCTGAAAGCATCAGGAATAATATTTACAGAATTTTTTCAAGTCCAACTCCCAGTGACCAGTACATAAACATGAATCCCGTATGTAGACACCAAATCCCATGCAGATTTTTTTTATTTTTCTGAATTCCACTAAAAATACCGTGTGACGTTTTGCTAATCTTTACAAAAATGACTGCATAGGACTTTTGACAGCAAAGATGATTTGAGAAATGTCTTATTTTACTATTCTTTGGAAAGGTGATAACAGTTGTTCTATTCGTAATCCAACTCCATTGGTATTTTAGCTGGAAATCCTGCAAAATGCAACAACATACATGAACAGAGTCCCAATTGGCACATTTTCCAGCTTGACACATGTATTTGGATCTTCCTGCTTTTTTTGGCGGATACAACTTTTTTAGGAGTTTGTAAGTATTCACCATGTGGTGTTATTAGTTTGACTGAGAGCTGAAACCTTTACATCCGTTGTCAAAGTGAGAAGCCTACTCAGTGTAACAAGATGAGGTCAACATCTTCAAGGCTAAAATGTCTTGGGTGATTAAGCTACTGGCCTGCTCAGGATTGAACAGTGATATGCATGTAGTTCAATGGGACTAGTATCTGCTTCATGTGCCCAACACAACAGGGTCCTATTCACACAACTGTTGCATATTGTTGTGCCGGGCAGGGTTTTTCTCAAGCTCCTTCAAAACTTTCAACCAAGAGATTCGTCCTTCTTCTCCTGTGCCTCCTCAGATTGACCTAGGTCAGGAGTACAAAGTCTTGAAGAGCGGCTTGACCCGCATGACGGCAACCATGAGAAAACAACGGAGGAAACTGTTGTTACTGCAGCAGGAGAATGCAAGGTGAGGGAACGGAAAGTTAGTGCTGTGAACAGCGAGTACTCCCATCAGAACTATCCTTGTCGGCTGAGGTTTATGCATCTGTATTTGTCATGCACTGATTCAGGAATTTTGAGGGGAGGGGTTCAAATCCTTTTGAGCTCTTGGAGAGTAAATGAGTTTTTTGATGCGAAAATAGGCCTTTTATGAATGCTGTGATTGTTCTGTTCCAGATACGCATTATTTAGGTTTCACTTTTCCAAACACTTTTTTTAAGAGGAGAGAAAGAGGTTTATGACTAGAAGTGGTGTCAGCATAATTTTTGG